TAGAAGTAAGGATGGCGAGACTTCATCTCACATACTTTGGATGTGTTACCAGAGGGACCAGTCCCTGGAGAAGGACATCATGCTTGGTAAGGCAGAGGGTCAGTGAAAAAGAGGAAGACCCTCAACAAGATGGAGTAACACAGTAGCTGCAACAATGAGCTCAGATATAGCTGAGGATGGCACAGGACGGGGCCGTGTTTAGCTCTGTTATACACAGGGTTGCTATGAGTTGGAACTGACTCGACGGCACGGAACAGCAACGATTTAATAAAGAAGGAGCACTGGTGGCACAACGGTTAAGCACTCAGCTACTAAATGGGAAGATCGGCGGTTCAAACCCTTGCAGCAGCTCCATGGCAGAAAAGACCTGGCAGTCTGCTTCTGTAAAGATTACAGCCTAGGAAACCCTATGGGGCTGTTCTGCTCAGTCATACAGGGTTGCTATGAGTTGGAATCAACTTGACAGCACACAACAACGATATCTAATGATGTTAAGCATCTTTTCATGTGCTTACTGGCCATTTGTATATCTTCTTTGGAAAAATATGTATTCAAGTCCTTTGTCTATTTTTTAATTGGGTTGTTTGTGTTTTCATTGTTGAGTTGTAAGAGTTCTGTATACATTCCTGGATATTAATCCTTTATCATAGGATCCCTGTTGGCACAAACAGTTAAGCATTCAGCTACTAATTGAAAGGTTGGCAGTTCAAACCCACCCGGTTGTTCCGCAGGAAAAAGACCCAGCAATTTGCTTCTGTAAAGATTATAGCCAACCAAATCCTACGCAGCAGTTCTGCTCTGTCACATGGGGTCACTAAAAGGCAAGAATGACTCCGTTGCACCTAACAAGAACAACAGTCCTTTATCAGATATATAATTTGCAAATATTTTCTCCCATTCTGTGGGTTGTCTTTTCACTCTCTTGATAGTATCCTTTCATGCACAAAAGTTTTTAATTTCGATGAAGTCCAATTTTTCTTTTCTTTTCTTGCTTGTACTTTTGGTGTTATATCTAAGAAGCCATTGCCAAATCCAAGGTCGTGCAGATTTGCCCTTACGTTTTCCTCTGAGCTTTGTCGTTTTAGCTCTTAGATTTCGGCCTTGATCCATTTTGAGTTTGTTTTTGTATGTGCCGTAAGGCAAGGATCCAACTTCATTTTTGTTGCATGTGGAGATCCAGCCGTCCTAGCACCGTTTGTTGAAGAGATTGTTCTTTCTCCATTGAATGGACTTGGCACCCTTGTTGATATCAGTTAACCATAGATGTGTGGGTTTATTTCTGGAATCTCAGTTCTATTCCATTGGTTTATATTTCTATACTTATATCGGAACCACACTGTTTTCATTACCGTAGCTTTGTAGTATAAGTTTTGAAATCAGGCAGTGTGAGCCCTCCAACTCTGTTCTTTTTCAAGATTGTTTTGGCATTTTAGGATGAGTTTTTCTATGTCTGCAAAAAAAAAAAAAGCTGTTTGTATTTTTATATGGATTGCATTAAATCTGTGTATTGCTATCGGTAGTATTGCATCTTAACATCCCTGTGTGGTACAAATGGTTATTGTTTTTGGCTGCTCACTGAAAGGTTGGAGGTTTGAGTCCATCCAGAGGCACCTTGGAAGAAAGGCCTCGTGATCTACTTGTGAAAAATTAGCCATGGAAAACC